CGAGACGAAATCTTTCAGGTTTTTTCCTCATATATAACATAATAACCGTATGCCTATTTAGGTTCAGTGGTCCCCACATAATGAAACTATTCTGGCTAGCTCTGGCACGGACAGGCGCCTTCACGTTTGGGACCTTAGCAAAATAGGAGTTGATCAAACGGCAGAAGATGCAGAAGATGGTCCCCCAGAGTTGCTCTTTATTCATCCAGGACATACCGCAAAGATATCTGACTTTTCTTGGAACATAAATGATCCGTGGGTAATCTGTTCAGTATCCGAAGATAATATCCTTCAAATATGGCAGATGGTATGTTAATACTTTGAAAACATTAATTTTATTTCATATTTAGGCCGAGAATATCTATAATGATGATGAATTGGAAGGGGGACCCATGGCCATGGAACAGGCTCATACTTGAAGCATCGTCTATTCCTTAATGAAATCTTGTTTTATGTTCACTGCACTGTAAATATTCTCTATTTATTGGTCGTATTTTACCGAGGCGCTGACTTGCATAATATAATGATGCATATGGCCACTTAGTGATTTACATTTTGCCTCATTCTGTTCGCCACAAGGTTGGTCAGGGCTACTTGTCTATTTATTATTCCTTGAAATTCTAATATAAACGCTTTTACTCAACCTTGATGTTGACTGCTTGCCTAAAAATACAAGACTATCTACTGCACCGCAATCATTTTAAATTCAGTTTTTGTAGATTTCTTCAAGTGTGGCTGACTCACTTCAATGGACTTGTATGAAAGGCTTGTTACACCATGTCTCCAGCCTAAACCACTATCCAGTTCTATTACTTATCGTACTAACTAGCTTTAAATAGGCGAGATCTATTTATCCGCGTTTTTGTATAAATGAGAGCAGGAAATTTGAATTTTAATAAACCCCACTCAATCTTTTGGCCTTTATCAGCGCGGGCTAGATGCGGTTATAGGTCTATTCTCTGAACTATAGAGTACAAATGAATGAAGTGACGCCAAAAGTTGGAATTCTTAGGCATTTGCTTCTTTGGATATGCGTCCAAGAGTACTCGCAGTCGCATGTGTCTTGGAAAATGAAAGAAATTAACCAAATAGTTCCTTCTTCTATGTAGCAATAACATTACACAGTTAAAGGATCCACATCCAACTTACTCCAATGGGCGTACTTATCTTTGAAACGCACTTTGGATAGCCGAATCGTATTCTCTAATAAGATCAAGGATAGGATCGGTTCATTTGCGCTATAAGAGTATTAACTTTACTATAGATGTCTAGCCTATCAGCAATGTTTCGTAATAACAAAGCCTAATGTCATCTGAGTAATTATGGCCGAGTTATCTAATAATGTGAATAGGCCTCACGCTCAAGAACCATGGTTTCATTCCTGTCGTGGGTACTATGACTCAGGCGAGGTTGAAGCTGCATTCCAACCTGGATGAGAAAACCTCTGGAAGCGATACTATACGAAATTCACTGAGAATGTAAGGCCTATACGTGGAATTGTGGGAAAGTTAAACTAACCAAACCTTCATCACCTTAAGCGAAATAGTGCGAAAGCATCTCATACACATGATGGAATAAACATTTATTTAAGTTTAGAGTTTCTCAGATAACTAAGCTATAGTGGTTTGCTATGGCACATGAGCCTCCATATTTAGGGCTAGCAAAGTAGAAAATGGCGGAAGATGCTGAATATGCCATCTA